CTCGCTCGAGTGCGTCGTCCAAAGCCTCCAGTCGACGATCTGTTGCTGCGATCGTCTGCGTCGCGATGGTTCGCACTAAGTCCTCCAAGGCCGCGAATCGTTGCTCATTCCTCGCCTCTGCGGCGGCGAAACCTTCAGCCATCAACCTTGTGACGTCGGTGAGCTTCCGGTCTAGAGTTTCGACCCGCTCGACCAAAGGATTGAGCCGACCCTCCAAGCTCCCCATCCGCTCCTCCATGGCGTGTAGTCGTGGCTGTGGATGATTGGGTTCCGACCCGTCGCCGCTACTGCCGTCCGCTCCCCTGGATTTCGATGGTTGTTGTTGCTTACTCGCCATCCCGAGAACCGGGCTCTGGATACCAACTGTTACGGTGATGTGACGTAGGGGGATGGCGTTTTTAGGGTTTTCTCGCAAAAGAGAATAAAACGCAAGAACTCTCAAAGGAAATAACTAAGGAAATAGCAAACTAAGAACAAAAGCTAACTATTGGGTTCCAATCTTCTTATCATTAAACGAACGAAACAAGTACATATTTATAGGCACCAAGCCTCTACCCTTACCTATCTAGATTATGACTCCTAAACCTCTAAGGATATTACCAACAATAACCAAATCCTATACGAACAAGGAAAACAATAATAAAGACAATATAATAAAAAAAGACTAATAATGTAATAATAATAAAATACTAAAGATACGCAAGCCCAGTCTCCTACGAAATGCTACGATGGCCCGATCTCGTAACATGTTCATGGGGTCTCTGCATCGCTCAAATTGTTGACGAATCGGTCTTCGTACGCTGTCAAAAACTTGGGGATGTGCTTTCGCCCTCAATCCAACCCGAGGGCTCTCCTTAGGGTTTGGAATCACTCTTCTTCAACCCCCACCCGGAACATAAGAGATGCGAGGAGGACCGGGAGCAGAGGAGATGCGAGGAGGACGATGGAGTGAGAGATGGAGAGCCGCCGGCTCTGAACGTCGACAGCGGACGAGCAGAGCGAGGGGTGGGGCTTAGGATAGGGTCAGTAACCAATGGAATGAGTTCGTTGTGCTCTACAAAATGAGATCCATTGTCAATATATTTCGAGAAACAGTTTTTTACCAACTACATACCATATTGTAACTTCTTCGTTTTAAGTCGTTTTTGAAAACGTTTGCTCCGAAGGAACGAGTTCATCATGATCTATTGGATCTATAAATTTCTGGGTGAAAAAAATACTAGACCAAAAATTACCATACTTTACCACTATGGTATGTGGGTGGTAACTTATAGTAAATAATGATGAAAGTCGTAAATGACAGTTAGTATACTCATACTATCATGTATTTAACCTTCTTACCATATTGGTATGTTCATACCATCATGATACGCTTTCTTACCATATGATATTAAATAGGAGCATACCGGTAATGACTGGTAAAAAATTATTCAATTTTTTTTTGTACTAAAAATATCAAAGTGGATATCATTTTAAAGAGCACATTTAATCTGATTTATCTGTGCAAAAAAATTAAATTTCGACTTAAAAAGAGAGATATCGGCCGTTAATGATTAAAGAGGAAAAGATAAAAGACTTTCCAGGAGAGAGAGGGATACTGATGTCATGCTAATGTGGATCGGTTACTCATGATTACTGACCATAGAGTTATTGACCTGATCCGTTCCCGAGGAGTGGAGTGGGAAAAAGAAACTTCGCATATGGATTTTTGCGTTTTGCTTTAGATTCTTATTTTAATTAAATTTGTTTTTGAGGTGGACGCTGAGGTGGATGTTGAGGCAGATCATCGTTAGTAAATAGTTAACGACAACCGATTGGAAAGTTAACACTTTGGCATGTTACAAAACGTTTGGTTAATAAATAGTATTTCAATAGGTTTGATTATTATAAAAGAGTCTGAAAAAGGTTTGGCTAATAAATAGACATTACCTATAAAAAATTCATTTAGTTTTAGTAATTTTGAGAATTGAGGTAAAATTTACAATTCCACAATTATTTTACTAATTATGATAAAATGACATAACTATCCTCAATTATTGAGTAATTTACTCCTATTATAATTTCACGCCAATACTCCCAATTTGTGTGCCTAATCATCCTTGCCCAATTGCCCAATCATCGCTTGGCTTCTATATCGTCTTTTATGTACTTTCCCATTGACTCTCCAAATTTCATTATTCTGCTAAGTTGCTATCCCCTGCTACTACTGCTTATTCCTCATTTTTTTTGCTTGTTGGATGATAATTTTGGCACTTGTGTTTTTCTTTTAGAAGATAGATTTTTAATTAATAATAACAATATTGTTTCTATTGAAAATTAATAAGGCTATAATTGGAAACTTTGTATTTAATTCAATTTGAAAAATATTCAAACACGATTTCATAATTTAATTTATTTCTAAAGATTTGAATATGATATTCCATACACAGGAATTTATTTGACAATTAATTTCACATGAATATATTTTAAAAGAAAATGAATTCTCAATTCATTTTATTCCAATGTCTGGCAAAAAAAAGTTTAGTTGTAGTCGTTTATATTTTTCTCTTCCATTTTAACGTTTACCCACCTTTGCCTATCCTAATTGCAACATACTTTAAAGGCAAGCCCAAAGGGCATGGGTACAAGTACAACGACCCGATTACAAGATTAGCTCCGACCATACTCAATACGATTATTTGATTACAAGGTTGACTCCAACCAAATTCGGTATCTCGTTATGCCACTACATGGGTAGCTCTTTGAAGAAGCTTTGTGGAGCAAAAAGACATGACAATGACCCAATAATGAGAAAAAGACACGATAAAGACGCAAATGACATAAAAAGAAAACAATTTTTTTCTAATATCACGAGTAAATAGAATAAACGGTCACAAACCTTTAATTTGTAACGATACGGTAACTCGCATTTGAATGTATATCAAAATGGTCATTCTGTCCTTCTCCATCGAACAATCTGTTAGTTTTGTCCAGTCATGCACTCTACGTCATCAAAATTGTTAACAAAAATTTCACTTAACCAAACGACCCAATCCACTCGAACTCAACACACCTCCTCTTTTGAAATATGTAACAGGATTGTTTCAAAACTTTCTAGTTCATATCAAATTGGTCATATATTCTCATTAATTTAGGGTACCCTCATAAAAAATACTAAAAACTAAAGATTGAAATACCGTACCGGAAGTTGTACTGGAAAAGTCAACAGCAAGGTATTTTATGCTAAAATCGTGGTTTAACCATGGTTCAATCGCTTCAAACCGATTACCAATTAGCCTCCAATAAGAGATTTTTCTAATTGAACCGCCAGTACGATACTTCAATCCTTGCTAATTATTATTATTATTATATAAATAGCGCCTAATAGCTTAAGGGGTCCAGTAAGATAGGGGCAAGTCCACGCAAGGTTCTGTGCACCCTCATCCTTCCCCTGTTTTCCTCTTTCTGTCAATTCCTATGCAAACTTTCCTCCATTATCCACCAGGGGTTCATCGTTTAGGCCAATGTTTTTTCTCCTCCAATGATCTACAGTTTTCTTTCTACAAGTGCGGTCGCCGTTTCCAGCCAAATGCAGTCGATGCGCAAACCATCAATTCAACTGCTCACAATAGTCCATTGCTCTCCACCTTGAGCAACTTTCGCCCCATTTAATAATTTGATCAACTACGGCGCATAGCGGTAGAGATTGAATAATCAATGAAACAGAGGAGGAGATGGCGAAAGAAAGTTTTGGCGGAGGCCTGGAGGATTATCATGATTAGAACCATGGATGAGTTGATTCATATTTATTCATATGCATATAACTGTTCTTTTCCATTTTTTCATATTTGCATGCTTGACACATGTATGCATCTGGAATGAAAAGAATGCCACCTGATTGCCTCTTATGGCCTTATTCTTTTTCTCCGGTTCACAATTAAAAAAATGACGCATGTCATAAATAAAATTATCTTTCTAGTTCTCTATAATTTGAATTTTTATTGTTGAGTTGGACAAGCTATCACTAAAAAAGAATTGGAAATGCTTATCATACACTCTGACGATCCCTTTAATTTTAGTTTTTTTTTCATTTGATTTGTTTTGGATGAATCAATTTTATCATCCAACGAACGCGAAAATAAATTTTTTGTGTGATATGTAACAATATTTGGTGAGGAATCACTATGTAGTTCTATGATATTCCCCGAGTCGATAATAGATAATACCAAATAATAATAAATTTGGTGTGACATTTGGTGTATCCCAAATACGAATATCCAACTTTCACATCTAGCTACGATCAATATATTAGATATTGCAATCCTTGGAGGTTGGTCACTAACTTTTCAAGTTATGAGTAATGACTAATCAATTTAAATCACTACTCATGGACATAGTTATATGGAATAACTATGTGTTCTCATTTCTTAGTGCTATTTACTTAGCCCGGTAACTTTCGATTACTCCTAACCAATTACTATTCAAGTAACATTCATTACTAATGAATTAAAGTATATAAATTAGCTTGACAACAATTCACATGACCTCGCGGGATAACTTCTTATTCTACTTCATTATTAGGTAGTTCTTGCCAAATTATGATTTGTTTGTTGTCTCAGTTTAAATTTAATTTATATATAGAAGGTTACACATGCACAATCACTTAGTATCTAAATATATGCTAAGTATCATTAGCTTTCTAAGGATTGGACGACCTACAATGTTTGATTTCGTTATTATAGATTTTGTGTGTCCAGAAGTTTGGGGAAAAAATTATTTAATCGAATACTATATTAGTATCTCAAAGGTTAACGATTCTTGAAAAGTTTATTTCATTCTCTAATAACATCAACCTCATTTAAAACAAAAGTGCTCTTCACTTCCAATTAACATATACAATTTTAGGTAAACCGTTGCGAAGCGCGGGCCAATTATCTAGTAACAAACAAACAACAGCTTTACCTGTTGGGATTGACTCTGCTTTTAACCCCATACCTCATTCAGTAGCATGTAAAAAAAATCTCTAGGAGCCAGAAATTAAACATCGACGTTTCTGCTCTAACCCAAGTTGAAATTATATGCAAAAAGAAAATTAAAGCTCCATTAATAAATCGTTAAAAGCTTGAAGATAATTATCTTTGTAACCAAATCTGAGAATTCCATGGTAATCCATACAAGCTGAGCCAGCTAAAAACACAGTAGAGAGGTGCAGAAACAACAACATAAAGTTGTGAGCTCTCATTTAAGCTGCATCAGGCTTAACCGACTCGCGCCAGGCATACTCCCTTGCACCATCCTTGTCAACGATCTTAATCACAAAGTTTGGTGGTGCCACGACCAATCTCGACCGGATCTCCAGGATGCACTTATCCACCAGGTCAATTGCTTCCTCCACGGTCATGCCACTGTGGTAGTGTCTGTCCATCATGGCCAGACAGAAGTAGGAGCCATACCCAAATGCTCCTCTGTCGACCTTGTGAAGGGTAGCAATGTAGTCGATGTAGTACAAAGAAGGACCAATCTCCTTGTCATACCCGGCCATCAACACGTTCACTTGGTATGGGTTCTGAAAATAATGAAAAGTTACAATGGGTTAACAACTTCTGTCATAACTCATAAGATACATCAGTTCAAAGCAAAGAAACAAGTTACCCAGCCATCCATCTGTACAAAGCAATACTATGCAAGCACGAAGTGACTTAGCCAGCCCAGCCATGAGTGCAAAACATGACTTGTGCTCTTGATAGCTAAAATTAGTTCCAAGGCATTGACAATGAAAGACTTCCATGCATGTAGATGAAAAGCAGTGATATCACATAAGTTGAGGGGTGTACGAAGGTCCATCTCTACAATCCCTCCCTCAACTCAAGTGTTGATCAATTTCCCCCCAAATCGTTATCTCCTTCTTGTTGGAGATCATATCCTATTGGAAGTATGAAGGCGAACAATCTGGAAGACATGGTAAATATGGGTCTAAGTTGGATAGCCAGCAGGCTAAATATGGTTCAAAGTTGAAGCCTAACCAATGAGGAAGATATTTGTAAGTGTTTTTGTAGTTGGGTAACCAACAAGGTAAATACGGTTTGGAGTTCAAACCAAACCAACAGGGCAGACACGCCAAGGACGGTTCAATTTTGCATAGTAGTAGATCATAATAGGTTATGCAGTCTCAACGCGCTTAAAGATTGGAGCATTAGATCATAAGAAGTTGGCTTAAAACGACCTATTATCCAAAACATCTTAATATCATACAACAGGACATTCATACCAACAGAATAGGAAACCCTAAATCAAAAGCAAGCATAACAGGGACACTAACTAACACACAAACTAATTAGATGATGAGATAGAGACACTCTGGCAGCATACAAATCAATGCCCTTTTCTATGAAGTCCTAAGGTTGTGCCAATCTAATTTTGCATTTCCCAGGAGTGTCATTCCCAGTGGCAGAAAGCAGAACAGGTGAAACCATCATCTATAATCAGGCACATCAACACAAGCAGGAGACTTTCTATTATTCCCATTCATATTTTGTCCATTAATTGCCAGTGGCGAAGTACATAACGAAATCCTAAATCACCCATTCGAAAGCAAAACAAACTGAAACAACCCAATAATCACAAACCCTAGAAACCCATAGCTTTTGTTTACCTTTCTCAAAGCAGTAGCCAGCTCTCCCCGAGTAAAATTGGCTGCAGCCGCTGTTGTCAGAGGGATCCCGTTCCTGAATTGATACAAAGCCACATTCTTCTGGATATACTCGGTGAATTGAACTCTGCAGGCCAATTTCCAATGCGTTTCAGACCAATAAGTCAATAAACCAACCCCGCTGTCTCACCACTAAACAAGAGGTAAAAAGCGAAGAGACCCAATTCAAACCGGAAAATGAACGCAGTGAGCTGAAATCATGAACCTGTCGCCGGGCTCGCCGCTGGCGGCGACGAGCTTGTGGGAGTCGAGGACCATGATCTTGTCCTCGTTGGATTTGTGAACCAAGATGCTGTGCACGGCGGAGGTATCTGCCACCACTATTGCGTAATCGTTCCCGACTAACCCGAACACGCACTCCATTGTCGTTGATCTGCTGCTGCTACTGCTTGGTCTGAGGTTTCCGATTCAAAGCTGCGATCCTTTCTGTTGAGCGAAGAACTAAGGGATGGTATATTATTCGTTCCTTCTTGAGCAACAAGCAGCAAGGGACGAAAAGAATTGGGGGGAGGAAGGGTAGTTCGGTCATCCTGCCTTTTCTGCTGGGCTTTCAAGTTTCAAGGTATGGGCCGAAGATTATAAAAGTTATAACTGACCCAAAATGTGCTTGTTGGGCTTTTGGGCTTCAGCACCTTCAAACCAATGGCTCACACCAATCATCGATCAACCAAATATCTGATGATGTCTTCACCTATTAAATTAAGTTTTTTCGTCAATGATAGAATTTTAATTCAGTGTATTACAAGGTGCCAATTTATGAGTTGAAGGTATTTTTTATGGGAAACCCGTGCTCTTTTATTAATCAATAACTGTTGTTACATCATCCTGTTCTATCTGATCAATCAAAAAACTTGGGAGTATATGATTAAGAGGATTGCTATTGATCGTCCTAATATTACTATCCATCGTCCTAAATTTAATATATATTTACTATTTTGTCCAATTTAAAATTTTAAACCAAATCAACAAAAAAAACCCACCCATACCACCTTCCTCTCCCGCTGACCCACCTCCACCGACCGTCGCTGACGAACAAAACAATGCGGTTTCCGGCTGCCACCGTTAGGAACTGAACAACAAACAGGGACGAGGTTACCGAACCTGGAGCTAAGTCGCGAACTAGGTCGCTCTCTTTAAGACGTTCGCGACACTACCCTCGATGCCACGACAGACTATCAACCGGTCGTCTCCAGGATAAAATAGCTCCTCTAATGATCGGCGGTTTTGTGCGAAAACCGGAGCTCTCTAAACACTCTCTATTGTGTTTATGCTCGTTGTGGTGTGTTTAGCGGGGCTGGGGAGGCAGCTATTTATAGGAGCCGAACCCCTAGAAATATACCCTCTAGCTTGGGGGATAAGTCGGATTAATTAAGGAAGATAATTACTTTCTTAATTAAAACCGTCTGTTAAGATAATTCCTGCGGGATTTATCCTTTGAATATTCCTTTTAATCGATTATCCGTAGAATATTCCTCAGAATAACCGATTAATAATTAATTATTAGATAATTAATTTCGTTCGGAATTTCTCCAAAAAATATATATAGTCTCAAGTGAACCAACCGGCCTGTCGGTCGGTCGAACGGCGCGAGCGTGTGTGTGGTGGTCCGTTAGGTCCTCCCTCTTCCACAAAAGTGGGTCACCCCAAGGGGCATGCCCTTAGGAGAGAGACTCTTATCTTTATACACATTTCATCAAGTAAAACTACCAATGTGGTAGTTTTTCCACTTGAGACTCTATAGCTTTCAAAGCTATTCATTCATTTCCAACAATCCCCCACTTCCTTAATTAAAACTATCTATTAAGATAATTCCTGCGGGATTTATCCTTTGAATATTCCTTTTAATCGATTATTCGTAGAATATTCCTCAGAATAACCGATTAATAATTAATTATTCAATAATTAATTTCGTTGGGAATTTCTCCAAAAAAAATAGATCACCTGCTATTTCTTATGGGTTGTACTACACGTTTATTAGTACGATTGAAACACATGCAGTGGTAAACCAGAAGTTTACAAATCTTGATAATGTATAGTTTGGCATGATCGGTTAGGCCATCCCGGATTGATTATGATGCGAAAAATCATTGCCTGGACATCCATTGAAAGGTCACAATATTTATCAGTTTAAATATGTACCATGTGTTGCATGTTCTCATGGGAAGTTGATTATACGGCCATCACCTGTGAAAGTAAGGAGTGAATCTCTTACATTTTTAGAACGTATATGGGGTTATATATGCGGGCCAATTCATCCACCATGTGGACCATTTAGATATTTTATGGTTTTAGTTGATGCATCAACTAGATGGTCACATGTGTGCTTACTATCAACTCGCAACCTGGCGTTTGCTAGATTACTTGCCCAATTGATACGACTACAAGCACATTTCCCTGATTTTCCAATCAAGAAAATACGTCTAGATAATGCTGGTGAATTTACTTCACAAACTTTCAATGACTATTGTATGTCCACTGGGATTGATGTTGAACATCCCATAGCACATGTTCATAAACAAAATGGACTCGCAGAATCATTTATTAAGCGTTTGCAACTTATTGCAAGACTATTGCTTATGAAAACAAGCTTGCCAATTTCTTGTTGGGGACATGCTATATTGCATGCGGCAACATTAATTCGCATGAGGCCAACAAGTTATCATGAAATTTATCCCTTGCAAATGGTTTTTGGTCAGGAACCTAATATTTCCCATCTAAAAATATTTGGGTGTGTCGTCTACATCCCTATTGCTCCACCACAGCGTGTTAAGATGGATCCTCAAAGGAGGCGTCAATCATAAAATACTTAGAACCCTTGATGTGAGATTTATTCACTGCTCGTTTTGCTGATTGTCATTTTGACGAATCAGTTTTTCCAACATTAGGGGGTGAGAAAAAACAGCTTGGAAAAGATATTTGTTGGAATGAATTATCATTATCTCACCTTGATCTTCGCACTAGACAATGTGAACTGGAAGTTCAAAAGATAATTCATTTACAAGGTTTAGCAAACCAACTACCGGATTCTTTTACTGACCAGAAGAGAGTGACAAAGTCAAACATACCAGCTGTAAATGCTCCAGTGAAAGTTGATGTCTCTGTTGGACAATCTGAAATTGCAAATGAATCTAAACCACGAATGAAGCGTGGTAGACCAGTAGGTTCCAAGGATAAAAATCCTCGAAAAAGAAAAGGAGCTATGAATCAAGATGGTCAAATCGAGGATATGAAAGCTCAAGAAGAGTCCCCAAGTATAACTAAGATTGTAGTTCCCGAAGAACATCAGGTACCTGAAAGTTTTGATAATGAAGAGATCTTACTCAATTATGTCTTGGATGGAAAATGTTGGAACCGAAGTGAAATAATCGTTGACGATATTTTTGCTTAAGCTGCAGCGTTGAGTGTGATGAATGAAAATGAGGATCATGAACCAAGATCTATTGATGAATGCAAGTCAAGAGATGATTGGCCAAAGTGGAAAGATGCCATTGAGACAGAATTCAACTCGCTTTAAAAGCGAAAGGTTTTTGGACTGGTAGTCCTTACACCAGAAAACGTAAAGCCAGTGGGATACAAATGGGTTTTTGGACTGGTAGTCCTTACACCTAAAATCAAGATCAAATTGGGACCGGACTGGGTCAAGACCGGACCGGATCAAGACCAAATTGTATCCAATCCAATCTTTGGTCCTTATATTCCCGAAAAGACAGGACTGGGACCGGATCAATTTGGTCCAATTAAACCGAACCGGACCGTATAGCCACCCCTAGTTAGGGTATAGTATCAGGTTCAAAAATCCTGCTAATTCGAGGTCTAGATAGCATTTTCATACTCAAGATATGAGGTACCCTAGATTTCACCCGGGGTACCGTAGAAGGCACCATATATGTATATGTATATATATATATATGAAACTCCCTGAAGGATTCACTTTGCCAGAAGCAAACAAAACACATTCTCGAGAAAATTTTCTATCAAATTGAACAAATCCATGTATGGATAGAAACAATATGGACGAATGTGGTACAATCCTCTTAGTGAAAATTTGATGAAAGAAGGATACAAGAATGACCCTATTTGTCCATGTGTTTTTCTAAAGAGATCGGGTAGTGAGTTTATTATAATATCAGTTTATGTTGATGACATAAACATCATTGGAACTCCCGAAGAGCTTTCAAAAGCAGTTGATTGCTTGAAGAAAGAGTTTGAAATGAATGATTTAGGAAGAACAAAGTTTTGTCTTGGATTACAGATTGAACATTTGAAGGATGGTATTTTTGTGCATCAAGAATGATATGTTGAAAAGGTGCTTAAGCGATTTTATATGCACAATTCACACCCATTGAGTAATCCAATGGTTGTAAGATCACTTTATGTGAAAAGAGATCCATTTAGACCTCGAGAAAGTGATGAAGATCTGTTTGGCCCTGAAGTGCCATATCTTAGTGCAATAGGAGCATTAATGTATCTAGACAGTCATACATGACCCGATATATCGTTTGCTGTGAATATATTGGCAAGATATAGCTCTTCTCCCACTAAAAGACATTGGAATGGAGTTAAACATTTACTCTGTTACCTTCGAGGAACGACGGATATGGGCTTGTTCTATTCAAGTGCATCGTAATTGGATTTAGTGGGATATGCAGATGCAGGATATCTCTCAGATCCCCACAATGGTAGATCTCAGACAGGATATTTGTTCACTTGTGGTGGTACAGCCATTTCGTGGTGATCCACAAAGCAAACTATAACAGCCACATCATCCAATCATGCGGAAATCTTAGCAATTCACGAGGCAAGTCGTGAATGTGTTTGGTTAAGATCTATAATTCGATACATCATAGAATCGTGTGGACTATCTCTAGGAGAAATGATCCCGACGGTCATGTATGAAGATAATGCAGCATGCATTGCTCAATTAAAGGAAGGATACATTAAATGAGATAGAACAAAACATATTCCACCCAAGTTCTTTTTCACTCATGATCTTCAAAAGAGTGGTGAAATAATTGTTCAAAAAGTTCGTTCAAGTGAGAATCTAGCAGATTTATTCACTACGTCACTCCCGACGACAATCTTTGTAAAGCTTGTTCGTGAAATTGGAGTTCGACGACTCAAAGACCTGAGCTGATGTGGTCATGAGGGGGAGCATATGCGCGCTGCACTCTTTTTCCCTTAACCATGGTTTTTCCCACTGGGTTTTTCTGGTAAGGTTTTTAATGACGCAGCATGAGATAGCCTAATAATGCAATCTAGTGGTCATCCAAGGGGGAGTATTATGTAAATATTTATATATGGATGACCAATGGCCTACCACATTAGGTGATCACTTGGGAGTTACATGTAACGCCTATTCCTACATCATTATCTCTAATTCATATGCATTGATGTAAGGATGTAGTGGTTACCAAAGTGTGCCTATAAATAGAGCACACTTTTGAATATAAGAAGAACTATTCCCCTCTCTTCTCTTGTGTCTTTCCCTCTCTAATCTTCTCTTGTAATTGTTTATATTTTCCATTAGTTTCATAACATAGGACGACATTTAGCATTTCAGTATGATTAATAGTGACATTTGATCACCTTTAAATATAACCACTAGAAGGAAATCGCATAGATTCATACAAAAATTAAAAAATTGAGTAAGATCCTAAAATTTTGTATTTATCACTGCCACATTGGATAATGCTTTTCTCTAAAATGATACTTGTAACTTTTCGCTTCTCATTATTATAACACTTAACACCCTTAAATCTACACCACTTTAATAAGAAATATATAATTGTGAGCGAGAATTTGACCTAATGGTTATACCATGTATAATATAGACACGTCTCGTAAGTGAATTGTCAAAATTAACAAAAAAAAACGCGTTAATTTTCATTAAAAAAGTAACGATCATAACTGGATCATTCTAAAACCGTCAATTCTATTGTTTGTTGTAACTATTACTAATTGGAGTTTTAGAGGCTAATTTTTTGTTTTATTGGGTTTAAACAAGAAAACAAATTCTACTAAAATAAAAATTAAAACGAAACAACCAAAAAACATAATAAATGTTCGTGGAATTTGGGTAAACAAAAGGAAGCAGCGAGGAAAAAGGAGGACTAGGGGATACAATTTTGAGAGGAAATGGCAAGCGACAGAACCATAGCAGCAATAATCATAGTATTGCTAATGGTTGCCGCGACGGCGACTCAATCATCGGCGGCCAGTGAAGGCGGTTCTGTAGGCTGCCGCATACCTTGCGAAGAAGATTGCAACAAGAAACATGATTACAAGAACAGGGAATATTGTCAAATGACTTGCGCAACCACCTGTTACAACAAACCTATTATAGGTAATGTAAAAAAAACTCGTTCATTCTTTCCAGTTCATATTATGGTGCTAATGGTTTGGGTTATCGAAGGTTACTATCATTACACCGTGATGTCATATGATCTCAATCATTAAATGTACATGGTGATAGTTTATAAATAATGTGAACATATGCATTCAAATAGTAAGCCAATTTAACGATTTAAATTCATGCATACCCCTAATGACTCAAATATCATCAACAAACTTACTAGATTTTGTTATTCATCCACATATATTGTTTCGAGGCATAACGAGGAATTTTTTTGGGTTTATTTGCAACAGATTTCATGGTGAAATTATTTGCGTCGAACACCAAGTGATAAGAAGAGAAGAGGAACCATTAATCTCTTTTATGAATTGTTATTTTTTGTTACCATTATTGGTGGAAACATAAGAGAATATACCAGTGATTGTTTCAATTGAATCGATTTTTTTTTAATTCGTGATTTACAGAATTGGTGCATCGTGATACATCTTGTATGTTCATGTTGTATTTGTATCATTTCCTCTTCTCATAAAAATGTAAAACGGTTCCCAGGAATTGGTTCATACAATGAATAATGGAAATGTTATACAAATGCGCAAATGTAGCTAACTAACAACTTGAATAGAAGTATGAGACCTGCCACTTTACAATAGTATAGAACAATAGAAACACAATACAACAACAATTGGCTACAAAAAACCTTCACATCACAAAGTTAAGACTAGGGTTTCCTTCTTATCTTTGGAACCCTAATACCCTTTGGAGACTTCAACTATCATGCTCTACTGTCCTTTAGACCCTTGATAACTAGTCTCCTCATAAAGCTTAGAATCAATGGCTCATCCTTAATTTCGAACTTTCACTCCCATTATGTTTCTCACTACGAACGATGTCCTCCAAGATTTGGAGCTTGTGATTGAGAGGGAGAATGGTTCTCCTGAATAAGATGATACTGAAGTAGTTTGGCTAAGCAGCAACAGTGTGTAAGAGGATCACAGTGAGCTAGCCTCTCTTGCAAACATGAGCGATCCACATTCACCACAGTTCAGTGAGCCAATCTCTCTTGCTGGCATGAGTGATCCATATCATAAACTCATGAGCCTTAGCAACATGTCAAGTCCAACGTACAAGTCCAGAAGACCGATCCATAACCAATTATATTTTATTTATAAGATTATTTGCGTGCAGCACATGTTCTATAGTTATATGTTATTTCATGAGAATATCTTGCCTTGTGTCTCAAGTCCATCTACTTCCACTGAATCACCACCATAATTTGAGTCCATTCTCTTTCCTTCAGCTTACCCTGAACTTTCTTCTTCGCCTGAAGTCCCAATACAGTATGTTCCTCCTAACCTTCTTCCAGTCCTCCTTCTTCTCCCACGCCACAACCTACTCCCACACCTAACACATCTAATTTTGGAACCCTTCTCCAATGTATGTACATCCAAACAACCCCTCATCAGCCCTTTCTATTGTTGTTAGAAAACCTCCCGAAAACCCACACGACCACACCCTCCTACAAAGTATAGTGATTATGTTATGTATTTGGAATCTAAAATTTACAAGTTTAGGTATCCTCTGGTTCCTTTTTTCTATGAAAATTTGTCACCAGTTTATAGAAAGTATGTAATGTATCTTGAATTTATCCAAGAGCCTAGAACTTGTGAAGAGGCAGTAGAATGAAGCAAAAACTTAAGGCTCTTATTGCTAATCAAACTTGGGATATAATTCCTAAATCTCCATTCAAATTAACCATAGGAAACTAATGGGTGTACAAGATCAAACTCAATCCAGATGGAAGCATAAAATGCCACAAAGCAAAGCTAGTGGCTATGGTGTTCACTCAAATCTATAGTGTCGATTTTCTGGATACCTATTTCCATTTGCCAAATAGAACTGAGTTAAAACACTACTTATTGTGGAAATCACTAAAAATTGGCACTTATTCCAACTTAATGTGAGCAATGCTTTTCTTATCAGAGATATCCTTGAAGAAGAGTACACATATTTTCCTCTTGAAATTTCTCAACCAAGCATGGTGTGCCTGACTCAAAAAGTCTCCTTATGATTTAAAGCAAGCCTCTCAAAAGTGGTTTTTCCAAACTTACTACAACACTTCTGAGCACATAAACAATCTCATAGTGACTACTCAATATTTGTTCATCATAGCAGTTTTTGCAGCTCTATTCTTCCAATACATGTAGATGATATAATCCTTGATGGTGATGATCTTCTTGCCATTAAAGCTCTCAAACAACTTCTCAGTTCGCTGTTCAAAATGGAATTGGAATTATCAAAAAACTTTAACTAATTTTGTTCGGTGAATTCAAAATTGTTCGAATTGTATAATCGTTAATTACTGGCATCGGTAAACGCCCTAAAGCGATTTGATTATAATTCAATTTGTGACGATCATAAGTAGAAATCTCATATTCTTCGGTCATTGATAAGCAATTCGTTGGACAATACTCAACGCAATTTCCACAAAAAATACAGATTCCAAAATCAATACTGTAATTAAGTAACCGTTTCTTTCGAATATCAGTTTCTAGATTCCAATCAACAACGGGTAAATTTATAGGGCATACACGAACACATACTTCACAAGCAATGCATTTATCAAATTCAAAGTGGATTCAGCCCCGGAAATGCTCAGCTGTAATTAATTTTTCATAAGGATATTGAATAGTTACAGGTAATCATGAAACTTTGACCAATGTATCTTGCAACTCGGATGGTTTGTTGACCATAATTCATGGACCCGGTTATCATGGGGAACATATCTATAATAGCAATGAATAATTTTCTTTCTCTTGTTTGAGATAAGTCGTGAATGTCAAAAAGTATTCCTTTTTTTCCTTTTTTATAGTGAAAGGAGTTGGGAAGAGGTTGTTAATAATAGATTACCGAGAGAGATAGGTAAAAGAAATTTTCATCCAAGATTTAATAGTTGATCCATTCTTAGTCTAGGTAAAGTCCATCTTGTTGTGATAGAGATGAACGAGAACAAATAAGTTTTAACCAATTATTATTCCAAAGACTCTACCCACATTATTTATTTCAAAAAATTCAGTCATGAATATGTACGAAATAAAGATATTCCAACCGCCCAAGTAAAGAACTGTTACAAATAATGAAGAAATTAATAAGTTTAGATAGGAAGCAACATAAAATAAACCAAATTTGATACCCGAGTATTCCGTTTGATAACCTGCTACTAATTCTTCTTCTCCTTCTAGTAAATCAAAGGCAATCTCTCGCATTCTGCTAGGAAAGAGATTAAAGAAATGATAAATTCTATAGGTAGACGTCACAAATTCCAACCCCAAAAACCATATTTTTATTGTGCCTTAACTATATCAACTATACTTGAATTGTTAGATAATCATAGTCGGTGATAATATCACTATTCCCATTGCTATTACAAAACCGTACATGAGATTTTCACCTCATACGGCTCCTAGAAGTAGGGGTGGCTACACGGTTTGGTTTAGTTAAATTGGCCCAAATTGATCTGGTCTCGGTCCGGTCTTTTCAGGAGTATAAGGACCAAAGATTGGATTGGATACAGTCCGGTCTTGACCCGGTCTGGTCCCAATTTGGTCTTGATTTTAGATTGAGTTTGTGGAGATTTGAGTGGCCTGAGGCCTCAAAGGGTGAGGAGTTGGTTAAGTTTTGGGTGTTGGGGTCTCTTATCCGGTTCTCGATCCGGTCTCAAACGTTTTTTTTACCTCAAATCTAAGCCCGAATATGAGATTGGATTGTTTGCTCTGGTCCCAATCCGATCCGGGTTATACGGTTCGGTTTCGGGTAAAACCAAATAGTCCGGACCAAATAGCTAGCCCTACCTAGAAGGCCATAAAAAATATAAATCGGATCAGATTCTTTTTCTTTATCTTGTATCTTTATCTGTTTGTACGATAGATAGGAAAAAATCTATTGGACATTCCAAAATTCGACCAATGAAACTCTGTCGGTTAGAATAACTTCTGAATTGATCTCATCCTCTAAGATAAGAATTTCATCGTAATGTGTTTTTCTTTCTTGAGTAATAACTTAAATCCATCAATAAAATACTCTTGTAACAATATTAATAGCTATCTCAACTTATGGTTTTCACGTACCAATTTTTTTATTGCATTAGTTCATAAGTTATTACATGAGTTTGATCTTATCAATATAAATAAGCTAAGCTAACAAATAAGAGATTGGTTAGAGCTCTATGCTCCCAGACTTGGATCGAAAGATTCCCTGACACGCTGATCAAGCATTTTACAGATCAGGGATCGGATCATTGAGCTCTAATTCTCTCTAATAAACCATACGTAAGAAATTGTCGTCCTCTATTCCGGTTTGATGCTCGTTGGGTTGAGAATCCGGAAGTTAAGGCCATGGTGAATTATGTGTGGTTGGAGGAGGTCCACGGCACCCCTATGTATCAGTTATGGGAGAAGTTAAAAAGCTTCGTCATCTGCTCTATGATTGGAGTAGAGCGGGCACTACTAACTCGCTCATGAATATTAAAACTATTCAATCTGAAATTGATCGGGTTAAGCTCTTTCATCCGATTAACTAGGAGGAAGTTAGGGTGTTGGAAACAGAGCTGAACCGGCAATGGGAAGCAGAGGAAGCTTATTGGCAGGAGAAATCCAGGGTCCATTGGCTCAAGAAGGGAGATCAAAACTCCTCATACTTTCATACGGTCACCCGAGCCCGACGGAAACATAATTTTGTTTCGAGAATTCACAATGAGGAGGGAGAATGGATTATAGAGGAACGTGGGAAGGCTGATATTGCAACGGATTTTTATCAACACCTCTTTACCTCGGAAATCATGTTCATAACATGGACGCTAGGATTGCTGATCTTCCGATTGAGTGTAAGGTTTCTGCGGGAATGAATGATTCCCTTACGACGGAGGTCCTCCCTGAAGAAATTCGTAAAATCGTTTTCGCTCTGGGATCTAAACAGGCCCCTGGATCGGATGGGTTCGCGGGGAAATTTTTTAAATCTTTCTGGGATATAGTGGGTGCCTCGGTGATTGAGGCAGTTCGGGACTTCTTTCGCACGAGCAGACTGCTTCGTAGCTTCAATCACACCTGGCTTAAGCTGATCCCTAAGGTGGATAATGTTGAAAATATGACCCAGCTTAGGCCAATTAGTCTTTGCCAATTTGTCTACAAGATCATTACTAAAATTATGGCAGAAAGACTTGCTCAGTTCTTGTCCCATATCATATCAGAGGGTCAAAATGCTTTTATCCGCGAACGTCAAATTGTGGAAAACATTTTGCTCGGGGCACGAGTTAATGCATTATCTTAAAATCAAAAAGCAAGGAAAGAGAGGGTACACGGCTCTAAAGGTTGACATGGAAAAAGCCTATGATAGAGTTGAATGGCCGTTTCTTCTTGCAGTTTTGAGAAAGTTAGGTTTTAACTCGGTCTGGTGTGGTTGGGTTCAGGAATGCCTTCAGTCAGCCTCTTTCTCGGTGCTCATGAATGGAACCCCGACTGGCTTCTTTACTTCGTCTCGTGGCCTAAGGCAGGGTGATCCATTATCCCCATTGTTTTTTGCACGGAAGGTTTTGCGGCACTCCTCCGACAGATTATCACGATGGGTAAACTAGAAGGGGTAAAGGTAGCTACGAGGATCTCGCATCTCTTTTTTGCAAATGATTCTTATTTGTTCCTCAGAGGCTCTTTACGTGAGTGTGAAAATCTAATTGAGGTTTTAAACTCTTACGAAGAGCTTAGTGGACAAAGGGTTAATCTGGGCAAGTCGGCAGTTTGTTCAGTAAGAATGTCCCGTTGCCCGATCAGGACTTCTTCGCTGTTGTATTGGGGGTTGGAGTAGTTGGGGTCCAGGATAAGTACCTAGGGCTACCAACGGTGATAGCGCGTTCTAAGATGGCCACTTTTTCGTTTCTGGAGGAAAAGCTGTTAAACAGGCTTCAGGGGTGGAAGCAGAAGACTTTATCTTGGGCGGCTAAGGAGACTTTGATCAAATCAGTCGCCTTAGCCTTACCTCTTCACGTGATGTCCTGTTTTAAGCTTCCACTTTCCTTGTGCCGGCTTCTAGATAGGCACGTGGCTAGATTCTGGTTGGGAGTGGAAGGGGGACACTCCAAAATGAGATGGATATCCTGGCGTAATATGTGCACTAGTAAGCATGAGGGTGGCATGAGATTCCGCCGGTTTGAACAATTTAATCAGACTTTGTTGGCTAAAATTGGGTGGCAAATCATGTCTGAACCCCAGTCGCTGCTGGCGCAAGTCTATAAAGGGAAGTATTTCCCTCGCGGGACTTTTATAACAGCTACGGCCAGGTCTCGTCCATCGTGGGGGTGGCAGAGTACCTTTATGGTCGTCAATTGCTTCAACGTGGTCTCCGTTGGCAGATTGGCAATGGGCGGACTGCTTCTCTCCTCTCTTCTAGTTGGATTCCTCTTCTTCATCCTGATGGCCCGGTCTATAACCTGCAAGTTCTTTCAGTTGAGGGTGAACCGACGGTAGACTTAGTTATATGCCAAGGTGAGGGGAAATGGTGTGATGCGAAGCTTCAACAATGGTTTGACCCAACAGTAGGCCGGGCAATTAAGGCTATCCCCCTACCTTTTGGGAATGTGGAGGATATGTTAATTTGGCATATGACCTCTGATGGGATCTTCACAGTTAAATCGGCCTACCACCTTGCGGTCTTGCTCGACAAACAGGATGGTAGGTGGAGGACGAAGGTTAGCTGGATAAACCGAGTTGGATACGGCTGCGGGATGCTAATCTTCCCCCAAAGCTCAAAGTTTTTATGTGGCAAGTGTTTCTTCGCATCCTTCCGAAAATAGAGGCATTTATTGAGAAAGGTGTTCGGGTCCAGCCTCGTTGTCCTGTCTGCTGGGCGGAAAAGGAAACAATGGAGCACCTGTTCTTGGATTGTCCGCTAGCGAGGGCACTCTGGGATCAAGCAGGCCTTGAGCATCTTGGTCAGGGATTGCCAAGGCATACCTTCCCTCTATTTATGAAGAAGTTGATGAATGTCGTTCACCATCCTCATTTATTCATGGTTGTTGTAGCTGTCCTGTGGCAGATTTGGAAGTCTCGTAATTGGGTGGTCTTTGAGAGCAAACAATTCGGGATTCCATCACTTTTGCGATAGTATTATCAACAGTATCAGGAATGGATGAGGCTCCCTGTTGACCGAGTTCAGCATCCGTGCATGCCTAGTGTTTTGTCCGGTTAGACCGCTGTGTTGCAGACTGTTACCTGTCAGTGGGATGGCGTGACAAAGGCTGGTTCGCATGCGGCCGGAGGGATTGTGATTAATGATCTCGTCGGGAACGTACTTCTGGCTCGTGGAATTCAGTTGCCCGATACGGATGACCCTTTGGTGGCAGAGATGTTGGTTCTTCGGGAAGCGGTGGTGTGATGTCTGGAATTGGGGTTTCCAGCAGTTTGCTTCCAAGGTGATGCCAAGGTCATTATTGATAAACTTAATCGGGAGCATGCGAGGGATGATCGGGTTGGGGCTGCTCTTGAAGAACTCATTCGGGTGTTTGCGTGTCATAGTGCGTTTAGTGTTCGCTTTGTAGGTCGGAGTAACAATAGGGTAGCCCATTTGGTGGCTAGAAAGGCCCTCGCTTTGTACCCGACTGGTTGTCGATCTTTTGATTTCCATGCCTGCCTGGTATCCAGGATGTAATATCTTTTTCTCCAATCAATATATCTGATTATTTTTTGTCAAAAAAAAAAAAAAGATATAGGTAAGAAGAAAAAAAATCTATTTTTTCCTTCCTATTCTTCTTTCTGGAAAAAAAAAGGATTATTTCGTTCCTGATAGTTATTTGTTTAATCAGTGGGTGAGAGCATACTCTGGATCGGAATCATGGGGAGTACTGCTATATCATTTCTACCAATTTAAAGCCTCAATAAATATTCTTTTATGCAGATTTTTTGAATTTTGATAATTTAGAAATTCTCTCTTACTAATCCTGTGTGTATGGTGGTGTTCCTAACATCTACTCATATTTGAGCAATCACTCCTTAGCATTAGGGTAATACATATAAATAATAGTGAAAATTAAATACTAAATAATGGTTTTTAAGCCCGCTTCAATGTAGGTTGACTAATCAACCAATCGTGGGGCAACCAATCTCGTGTTCTTATGTTTATTTCCGCTTTATTCTTGTACATAGGAAATGAGTCTCAAGTTTTTTTTACTACAAATTTCCAAGCAGTTTTCTTTCACTCATATAACTATTCAATATCCTTCATCATCCCAAAAAATGAATAATAATAAAAACTGAAGACATTTATTCAATTTATTTTGCTTTCTTCTAAAAGAGAAAGCAATAAGGAAATGCTTCTGGTTCAACGAATCGCACGTAGAGATATGGATAATATGCAAGAGAGTTAATGTGATTTCATAACTAATAGATTGAGCAGCAACTCGTAAACTACCTAAAAACAATATTTATAATTTGATTCATATCCTGACATAAGAAGTCTCATCGGAACAATACTTAAAATCGCAATCCATAAAAAAACACCCATATTTAAATCCGATAGAATAAAGCGATAGGCAAAAGGAATTACTGAATAGGTTAATAGAGTTGATATGACTGTTATAGCCGGTCCGATACTGAATAAACGAGTATCCCTTCGAGATGGAAAAAGATTCTCTTTTAAAAGAAGTTTTGTCCCATCCGCTAGAGCTTGAAGAACTCCCAAAGGACCGGCATATTCAGGTCCAATACGTTGTTGTAGCCCCGCATATATATTTCTCTTTCTAACCATACAATTACTAGTACACCTATTGTAATTCCCAATACAAGAGTCAAAATAGGGGCAAAGATCCATAGAATTCCATAGATTTCGTTTAAGGCTTCCAATCTGAAAAAAGAATTGATAGCTTGTACTTTGGTTGTATCAATTATCATTTTAACGATCAACTTCTCCCAATAATATCTATGCTACCTAGTATTGTCATAATATCCGCCAATTTCATTATTTTAATTAATTGAGGAAGAATTTGCAAATTGATAAAACTCGGTGGACGAATTTTTCATCGCCAAGGAAAACTACTCTGATCACCCACCAGAAAATCTCCAATTCTCCCTTTGGGGCTTCAACTCTCACATAAAAGTTCTTGTTTAGGCAATTCAAAAGTAGGGAAAGTATTTTTACTAATGAATCGATATTCAAAATCGTCCCATTCAGGATTCCTTTCTCTATCAAAATGTCGGGTTTCTAAATTTTCACAAGGACCTCCTGGAATTCTTTCCAACGTCTGTTGAATAATTTTTATGGATTTCGTCATTTCAACAATTCGGACTAAATAACGAGCTAAGAAATCTCCTTCTTTTTGCCATGGAACTTCCCAATCAAATTCGTCGTAAGACTCGTAATGATCAACTTTACGAAGATCCCACTGTACTCCGGAAGCTCGTAGCATTGGTCCTGATAAACCCCCAATGTATTGCTTCCTCCGCAGCAACAATCCCTACCCCTTCAACTCGTTCTAAAAATGGAAAAACGAAACACATAGAGATGATTGCCACAACTAGTTACTGACTCGTTCTAACTACAACATCCCAATCGCCGACCAAGTATAACCGGCGACCGGGTGTAGTATAGGCAAGCAAGCAATAAGAATTTATCGTACCACGGGGATCTAGGCTTACCCTACTTCAGGTTAGGGTTCGTTATCTAGCCAACCTAGGATGGTGATGAGAAGAATTGAACTAACTAACCTAGCTAACCACTAACCTAGCTATTTACAAGGTTTTGGGAGCTCTCTTGGGTTAAATCCCCCCTATTTCTAGCCTTTGGATCGATGTTGATTGTTGAGTACTATCCTAACTTGATTGATTCACTATCCTACCGTTATGAGATTGACTCACTCGGGATGGACAGGGAACGACAAAGTGATGGATGGGTAGGAGCTCTAATCAACCTAGGGTTTCATATATTGCTAGGAGACCAATGGAATCAACTCCCTCGGGGATTACCCGGACAATATACGGTAGGAGTGACCCAAAGATGCCAATAATGGGCTCTAAGGGGATTCTCTCCCTCCTAGGTCAAAGCTCAATTGACAAGTTAAGGAATCCAAACTCATTCAATCCTTACCAAACATCTATCAAATAGATAAATTCATTAATCAAAGATAGAATTTGTCACCTACATCAACAATGAAACAAAATCTAGACCTAGGGTTCTTAAACCCAAGAGAAGAGGGTGAGATTCTAGAGAGAGGAGAGAGAGATTACAAATTGGAGCCTAAGATCTTCTTCTTCTTCTAGGCTTGATTCCTTGTTTCTAAACTTGATCAATGCCTTCAATTACGCTCTAAAATGACTCAAGAACTCTCTCTAGAAGTCCCCTTTGGTGTTTCGGGTCGAAACCCTAGAGAAAGGAACAATTTCCTCTCCAAAAACCAGCTCCCCCCTTTTCTTCCTTCTGCTGCTGCCTTTTATACCCAAATCGAAGGTTGTTCACGGTTGTGAACTCAAAACCTAGATCTTGATCCGGCCAGAAACGCGCCGTTTCACTACAACACTTCACGGTCTGGAGCTGAAGTTCACGGTCTTACGACCGTGAACTGACTTGGCGCCAGCAACTTGTAGAAACGCTCTGGAACCTGGCTAGTTCACGGTCATTGGGCAATTGTCACGGGATTTGGTCATTTTTTCCACTTTTTTGCGCTTTTCGACCTCCAATCGATACGAAACTAGTCCTCGACCTTCCCACGTACTAGGACCTTAAATGTAACAAAACAAACACAACCTAGCGTAAAATAGATCGAGGGACAGTGATCTACTAAACATAACAGATAAGAAATGAGGGATAAAATGTGTGCATTTGTACCCGAATCTAGGGATGGCAAAAATATCTGTAACCGTGGATATCCACCCGAATCCGACCTTATCGGGTAGGGTAAAACCCGAACCCGAAGCATTTTTCATGGGTACGGGTAAAACTCGAACCCGAATATTGCGGGTAATGGGTGGGTATGATTTTCCCACTATCCAACCCGAACCCGCCCGATTATACACATGCATATGTGTTTTGTCTATAAATAATCATTATTTTTCTCTAGAATATTTTATATTTAACATATACATATAATATTTTCATGAAATTATGTTGTTTTAATTAATTTTCTTCATTCTAGTGAATTATTGTCATACTTTTCCTCTTACGTAATGTGAGTATACGTGTGAATGTTAACATATTGGTTGGAATTATTAAGTGAAATTATTACCCATGAATAACCGTGGATACCCGAAACCCGAACGGGTATGGATATGGTTTTGATTTTCTACCCGTTTCCCGTGTGGGTATGAGTATGGGTAAAATCTGAACTACATTAGATATGGTAATGGATATGCAATGCACTATCCACCCCGACTCGATCCATTGCCATCCCTACCCGAATCAGTTACCGTTGCAAGAGTAGTTTAGTTAGCTAAACGGTACATATTAGTTTATACCTTTTTGTAGCAAGGAGCCCCTGGTTCCCCTCCAGATGTGGACTCTCTTGATTTCTTACCTACAGATCCCGTGATAACACATACATACAAGCCAACACTTGCTTTCCTTCCATAGTTCCATTCCCAACTCCCTGAACTGGATCACGTCGTCATCCTTGACTGAGCTGTGATAATTATTCCTTATGCATTCCTTCCCTTTTTTGTCTCTTTTGCAGGTTGTTAGCGGCCAACTCCTTGTCAAAGAAATTAGAAAAAAAATAAATGAGCAGAGTGTTAGATTTTCAGCTCAAACCAGTGCAGTTGGTACCACCCAATTCAACACTTCAAATAATGCTATCACTAGATTTCAAGCAACGGAACATGACCGAATCTCATCCTCCTCCCCACATGGCCGCCGTTTGTCCATTCTATTCCAGCCGCCGGCGGCTAAACAAGTTGAATTTTAAAACCGTCCTCTTCCACAGGCGTCCAAGGATTAGACAGCTTGCGAGAAGAAGAAAGCCACCCCAAAACATTCCGAACTCAATAATAATCTCCAAGCCCTGCTAGTTTTAATAATGAGTGATCACAGCAATCCACACTTATATATACTGTACACCATAGCCGTGGCTTTTCACTCCAGAAAAAACGAAAACAGAGCAAAACATGAAGAGTCTGGTCATTTTCCTGCTTACTCTGTTCTTCATCGTCTCCGCAGCGAGCTCCGGTCGGGTAGTTTCAGAGAATTTGGCGGAATGCATCGCCAACAGGAGCAATACCAGCTACCCGAGATCGATCCAGACGATATTCCACCCTGAATCTCCTCTTTTCGCTTCGCTCCTCGACTCGAGGGTCCAGAACATGAGATACATGAACAACGCCACTTCCCGGCGGCCGCAGCCGCTCCTCATTCTGACTCCGTCCCACGAGACAGAGATCCAATCCGCCTTACTCTGCTGCAGGGACCACGGCGTGGAGCTCCGAATCCGCAGCGGCGGCCACGACTACGAAGGCCTCTCCTACTTCAGCAGCAGCGCCAGCTACTACATCGTCGTCGACCTCTTCAACCTCAACGACGTGCAGCTCGATCTCGAGTCCGAGACCGCGTGGGTGCAAGCCGGCGCTCGGCTCGGTGAGCTCTACTACGCGATCGCGAAACAGAGCACCAGCGCTCCCATGGCGTTCCCCGCGGGGATTTGCCCCACGGTGGGACTCGGCGGGCATATCGGCGGCGGCGGGTTGGGAACCCTGACCAGAAAGCACGGCCTCGCAGCGGATAATGTTCTAGACGCTTACCTGATGGACGCTCGCGGGAGGATCCTGAACAGGAAATCCATGGGGGAAGATGTTTTCTGGGCGATCAGAGGCGGCGGCGCGGCCAGCTTCGGGATTGTTCTGTCCTGGAAGCTGAAATTGGTCAGAGTTCCGCCGAAATTGACCTTCTTCAAGGTTTCCACGACGCTGGAAGAAGGAGATCGGAGTAACAAGCTGATTCATAAATGGCAGAGATTCGCACACGACGCGCCAGAGGACTTGTTCGTCAGGACCGTGATTCTGAAAGTCGACGGCAGCAAGAAGGCGAACAACAAGAAGACGATTCAAACAACTTTCGAATCTCTGTTTCTGGGTACAGTAGAGAAGCTAATCCCGCTTATGAAACAGAGCTTCCCTGAATTGGGGCTGACGGCGGGAAACTGTACTGAAGGAAGCTGGGCAGAGTCGACTCTGTTTTTCTCCGGATATAAACAGGGGAGCCCGCTGGAAGTCCTGCTGGACAACACCGAGATTCAGAGAGCCAAGTTCAAGGCCAAATCCGACTTCGTGACGGAGCCCATACCGGAATCTGGATTCGAAGGGATGTGGGAAATCGCGATGGAGGAAGACAAGCCGATCGTGATACTCGAACCTTTCGGCGGGAGGATGAGCAGGATTCATGAATCCTACACTCCATTCCCGCACAGAAAGGGTTATCTTTATAACATCCAGTACCTGGTGAAGTGGGAAGGCGACGGCGTTGAGGAAGAACAGAGGCATCTAAAATGGATGAACAAGCTTTACAACTACATGGAACCTTACGTTTCGAAGTCGCCGAGGGCGGCGTATCTGAACTACAGGGATTTGGATTTGGGGACGAACTCCGTCGATGGGAAGACCAGCTTCTCGGAGGCGAGTGTGTGGGGAGCCAAGTACTTTAAGGGCAATTTCAAGAGGTTGTCGGAGACCAAGAGCAAGTTCGATCCTGGGAATTTCTTCAGATATGAACAGAGCATTCCTCCATTGTTTCACAAGTGAAAACTTAAAAATTCGTTTGGAGTTGACAAAGATCTATCACTTGGAGAAATTTGTCAATCATCGACCGACGCAAATTGTTTCTAATGGACTAGTTACTGGGGATTGATCTTTGTCTCCTACTTGGTTCACTCCTAATTGGTTCCCTCATTGTTGTATTACTGATCAGTCACTGAGTGGTTATTTGTTGGGACTGAAATTGAAATAACTGTCCTACAACATATGCAATAATCCATTGACCAACTGTTTGTGCCTGCATTGTACCGGGCGGTTTTGTGAAATTCCACTGGCCTCGTGCGGCTTTCCGTAGACGGAGGCGGTCTTCGAAACCCTGCAAGAAAGGTCCTCAGGGAAATCCTGGGACCTCCTCCGATGCCAAAGTTAGAGAGAGAAGTAGTTGTGACGTAAATAAGAGAGAGAATTGGGTAGATCGAAGTTACCATAAATGCTGCCCCCTTGTGGCTATTTATATTAACTTTGGTTTGGACAAGGATATTAATGCTCTGTCAGACGGCCTATGACGCTTCTGGACTCATTAAATGTTATGCCAGTACGGATGTCTGACTCTTTCTATTTAGGAGAGACCAGAGGAGCGTCAGCTCACCGTGTCGGGCGATTTTGTCAGTATCCTTGTACCTCAGTGTCGGGCGGTCTCCTCGTGGTGTGAATGGGAGTCCGCCCCGGCCTGGTCTGCTTCTTTGTGAGCTTTGTAACCATGGGCCTCAGGCCCACGTATTCCAATACTTGGCCCAACACCAACCCTAAGAACCTACATTGTCTTGACTTGGGCTCAAATTTGGTTCTACCATGCTGTAGAGCAGAAGCATAACTCAAACTTGGTTCTGCCATGCATTTCTGATTAGTGTATGTACTATTTTATTGGTACTTATGTGGCTCGTGTTAGCTACAAACCTCGGGTTCCAGGTTCGCTTGTAATTGATTATCACGTCGTTAAAGTTTAACCTGACTTACATGAATTCGTTTGCGGATTAAATTAAGTTATCGAAAACGAATCTTTTTAAGCAACATGTATATACCCAACCCATAATTGTTGGGCCTAGCTTTGTTAGTATCTAATTAGAGCCAAATTTGTAAATTGATGCCAAGATCGAGGCTCTACAATGAAATTTTCATATCAAGTAACGAGCTCACTATGCTACAAATAGTTTACGTGCAAGGCCATATATATTTTATTTTATTTTTTACTTTTCAATTTGTTGATGAGAAGTTAATTAAAGAAGCTATGTGACTGGAAGCAGCAAACTATATCCCGAGCTTGGAGATTATATATCTGGTATTAGAGGCGGAGCCGGGATTCGAGGTTTGGGGGGCCAGACTTTTTTATTATGTTATCGTACAAAAATCTAAAAATTAACAAAATAAATAAAAATACAGTATATAAGCATACAAAACCTTCTTTGATACTGAAAATCTTTATTATTTGTCTAGAAATTTTAATTTTAAAGTTCAATTATTTATAATGCTATAATTACACCAAATATTGTTAAGATCACTCAAAATAAAAGTTAAACTAATAATGTTTTCACATTAGGTTCAATATAAATTAGATAGAAAAAGGTAACAATGACTTCTAATATTGAGTATCAAAATTTATTTTCATAACTTAAAAATTATTGCCTGTCAAAATCTGTATTGAGAAAAAATACCATTTTATATTAGAAACTATCCTTAAAATTGAAGAATTTTGTTGTAATTGGAATTCAAGGACATAACAAACTAAATATGAAACTAAATGAATTAATTACTAGTTTAGTCAATTGGAAACTGAAACTCTAGCTAAATTGACTTTATCTAGCGAAATTTTAAAGTAAATTTAACAAAAATACAAAACTCTTATGAAAAATGTTACATAAAAACTTAAAATGAAATAAAAGTACAAAACAATTATGGAAACTACAAAAATATTAATGAAATAAAAGTACAAAAATGTAATGGAGGACAGGCAAATAAAAACTGAAATGAATAAGATGGCAAACTGCAAAAGTGTCAGGAAGCGGAAGATCGTCGGCGTGAGGGGCTGACGGTGTACATCGACAAGGGGTTGAGGAAGCGGAAGATCCCGTCCAAGTACACGTCCTTCGAAGGGTTCCGGCAGATACTGCGGGAGAGGACCGACGCCGACACGTTGGATTGGAAATGCATCCAGTCTTTTGAGATAGAGTCCTGCTCGGCACAGAGGTTCCGCGATACACTCACAGCCGCCGTCGAGGAAGAGGAGATCCGACGGCGATACCGGCTCCGTCTGCAATCCAATCATCACCTCCGTGTACCAGCGGTCCGGCGGTGCCCCTGGCGGCTGTGCTGGCGGAGATGAAGAGGAGTCGCACGATCAGTTTCGCCGGGGTCTAGGGTTACATCGGCGCATGGAAGAGAAGTCAGACGGCGGTTACCTGGGGTAACTGAACGGTCGGGTCTTGTGAGTCTGCTGCAATAATTAGTAACGGTATTTTTTAATTAATTACATTTAACTGCTCCAGGTAAGTAACTCAAACAGACTCCTCGGTTTTCATTTTTTTACATTACTGCAATTTAGTCATTTTTTATTTTCTTTATCTTTTTAATTAACCGCTATTCATTTACTTCATTATTTATTAGTAATTTTTATTTGCTTTCTTTTGATACGTACCCTCCCTTTTTTCATTTTATTTGTCAATTTCGTCCGTTTTATTTTATTGCTTTTCTTTAACTATTCCTAAAAAAAAAATATTAGTTTGACATAGTTTTGGATTCGGTGTATCCGACTAAGCCTTAATGGCTTGTTTAAGTCCATTTGGTGGAGCTTAGTTGTCCTACAGTGGGGACGCTTGTGTGTTTTGTTTGTTTTTTGTAGGGGCACGCAGAAGAGCTCCCGATATCGAAGAGACTTCCTCATACAGGTGTTTTGGCTCATGATCAAGATGGAACTATCTTGAAGGAGGCTCGGAGCTTGGCTTTTCTCTTTAGTTGGGTTTCTTACTGTCTTGTTCTCCACTGTCTCAATAGGGTTGCCCATCATGTGGCATAAAAGGCCCTCTCATCGAGAGTTCGACTATTGGTCGACTCTCGCGCTCTTTTTATTTTCTCTGTATGACTGATTTTATAACAACTGACTTTGCGGGGAAAAAAAACTGAAATGAATAAGATGGCAAACTGCAAAAGTGTTTACGCTCCCAATAGGTATCGAACTCAGAATCATTAAGTTATTGAAAACATATTTACCGCCAGACTAACTTAGCTAGATTGCTAATTACTTGCACTCTGCGTTTTTTATACCCATTTTTTGTTTGTACGTAAAATATCCAAACATTTATACGTAAATTTCAAAATTCTCGGGGGGGCCGGGGCCCCCTCGAGGACTAAGGTAGCTCCGCCCCTGTCCGGTATTGGAATTATCTCTTTCTGGCAGAGCCGTAACAGTTGGCCGAGGTGGTGGATGAGTCCCTTATGGAAAAAAGACTTGAAATCTTCAACTACCCCCTATATAGAGATTTTTAATTTTGCATATTCCTAATTTTTTATTTCATACCCAAGTCGGACGCTCTTGGTTTTGAACAAAGAGAAAGTCCCATTCTAATTTTTTTTTTAAATGGTGGTGATTTTTTTCTTTTTTGTAGAAGGATAGACACCAATGGTGTCTAGATGATATTACTAGTTAAATGTTCTTGGGTGATGCCCAAAACATCAAAAGAAATCCAGTGGAGCAACCCTGGTTCGAACACATCAATCTGATGTGATCCAAAAGGAAGGGAGTGTCCCAAGTTGGCCAAAAAATCAGCAGCACAATTACACTCCATATACACATGTTTAATCTGAACCTCCCAGTTAAGAGAGAGCAGCCTTTTAATCTCACTCGTGAGCAAGCCATGTCTATGATCGACGTCATCTTTCTTCAAAATGATACTGATTGAGGATAGAGAATCGATGCAGAGCAGCACTTTCTTGAATCCTTTTCTCCACGCCATCACCATCCCTGTTTCAGCAGCTTTGAGTTCTGCTCTTGTGATTGAGCAGTTGCCGAGGTTAATGGAGAATGCCTCTTGACATTGTCCGAGGGAGTCGCGGATGAGACAACCACCAACAACCTTCCCTTCTCCTTCAATCACCGAACCATCGATTTTGACCATCATCCATCTCTCATCAGGAGGGATCCAAGAAAGTTGTTTGAGCATCTTCCTGCCAGGAGATCCCGGAGAGATCCTGCTTTTAAACAACCTGGTTTTTCTCATTATACAAAAGTAAGAGAGGATTCTTGAGAGGAGGGATTGTTTGCAGTATTTATTTCCATCCAATGATTTTTCGTTCCTCTGCTTCCAAATGTGCCAGAGAATGATTCCAAAGTCTATTCCCTTCTCTTCATCCCTTATAGTGTTGTTGATCCTATCGTTGAAGTTGATCATCTGGTCAAGTGTTGTTATTGAATGTTGAAGACGCTTCCATAGATTCTCTATTTTTTTGCATCTTCTGAGGATGTGTTCAGTGGTTTCTTCCTTTCCATTGCACTCAGGGTGAGGGCATCTTCCATCAATTTTCAGCTTTCTTCGGACCCTTTCCTAGTTGGTCAGGAGCCTCTCATGCTGGGCAAGCCAGAGGAAGTGCTTGATCCTATTTGTCTGTTGCTGGAAAGTCAGTTGCCACATTCAGCTCCTCATCATGGGTGTCCTTCGAGAACAGGTTAATGTAGAAGTTTCTGGACATACACTGGATGGATTCTGGATCAGTGATCCATTGCACAAGGTCATTCTTCAGGCTTTTAATCTTGTTTCTTTTCCTTCTGGTTAGGGTGCTCGTGTGGAAGAACTGAGTGTTTTGATCTCCTTGTTCAATCTGCTTCACTCGTGATTTTTGCAGCCAAAGCATCTCTTCTTGCCAGAGGGTTTCTTCCAATTCTTCACTGGCAACCTGTTCAGCTTGAAGGAAAAAATCAGAACGTTGTCTCTCATTTTCCACTCAGGCTTTTCCAGTTTATTTCGTAGCTCTTTCTTCCTCTTGAAGATATTCCTAAAGGAGTTCTTGTTCCAAAGTTTAACCTCCTCGATGAGCTTGACCAGGGAAGAGAGGAAGTCCTGTTTTCTATCCCACAAACCATCAACAATAGGGAGGAATTTATCATGTCACAACAAGGCTGCAAGGAACTCAATTCTTCGCGCCAGTTTGGGTCCTCCCTTAATTCCCGCACTGCAAGTGAGGATGGATCTATGGTCCGACTTGATATTCATGAGATGAAAATTGGTAGTGTCAGGGAACTGATATTGCCATTCCACAATGCAGAGGACTCTGTCCAGTCTTTCTTTGAGTCTGATTTTACTTGTGAACCAAGTAAAGCTAGGACCAGTGAATCCAAGGTCGATAAGTCCGCAGTCTTCGATGCAACTATTGAAGGCTCAAGCTTTTGCAGGATTGAAACCAGCTCCTCCTTGCTTCTCAGAGGGCTTCGTGATAGAGTTGAAGTCCCCAAAGAGAAGCCAAGGGGAACATGTCAGCTTCTCCAACCCTCTCATAGCCTCCCAAAGACTTGCTCTTTCATACTCACTTGGGCTAGCATAAATAGCAGTCAGGCAACAATCTGGGAGTCCATCCATCTTGCATTTAAGGTGAATAAACTGTTTTTGCTTGTCCAAAATCTACAACTTCATGGTATTCCTATCGTACAGAATCCATATGCCCCCACTGAATCCAATGGCATGAGAGACAATCCAGGTGTCGTAGCCAAGGGTCTTGATCACCTCGATGGCTTCATCACCACTGATCCTGATTTCAACAATGCAAACTAAATTAGGTCTATAAGTACCTGAAAAAAATCAAAGGAAGAGCTAAATTTGGGATGCCTAGCACCCCTGCAATTCCAAGAAAAGACCTTAATCATTAAAAGGAAATGAGAAGATACTCCCTTGTTTAATCCGAGGATTCAGACTGACAGGATGAGTCGACAATCTTCTTCGACCCTGCCTCACCTATAATGCAATCTGTAGTAGCCATTATGTGTGCTTGGACATTCTCTGGTCCCATCTTCTCTTCTCATTTGTCAACCTTAAAGTTAATTTTCCTTGCAAGGGAGGATGCTGGGTCAAGGGGCTTCTCTTTGGAGTGAAGGGAGTCAGTTTTCCCTTTTTTCTTACTCGTTTCCACTGGTTTTGGAGTAGCGAGTTTTTTCTCCCCCTCCCAGCAACTCTTTGATCATTTTGTTTCTTGAGACTAGCGCTTCACTTAGGGGTCAGCGGCTCAGCGCAAGGTTGCTGGTATGGCCCCAGAACCTCCTTTAACCTTGGGTGATGAACCCTTGCCATCGTTAGTCTGTAGGTGTCCACCATTTGAGCTAACATCACCTTTGCTTCTCGGCTTTGGGTTAACAGGTGATGTCTTTTGGTTGCTCTTCTGGTTTGAGCTGTCGATTTTTGTTTTTTCTCCTTTTCCTGCTTGCCACTCTGATTTTCTCCCTTCTATTTCTCATGAATGTTCTTCTCAATTTGATTCTCTCCATCTTGAGCGATGGAAGTATCCAAGCAAGCTTGTTCTGATTGGGCTCCTGTGTTATTATCTTTCTCAACCTGCTCATCTTCCTTAGCTTCTTCTGATCCAAGAACATCAAATCTTGACCCACCAATTGGGGTCATCTTGTTGGAAACCGTTTGGACCTTCTTAGTTTGGCTCTCAGTAACTTTCTTCTGGGCGTTTCTTCTTGGAGGTCTGGATGCAATCATCCATGGTCCGAAGTCTTCAATCACTTTCGGTCTGATGGCTTAGCTTTGTTTCTCTTCTGCTGCAACCTAAGAATGTCCTTCATATTTGGAGGGACAATCATCGAGGAAGCATCCGTAGTAGCCACACTCGAAGCAAATCTCATGAAGCCCCTCATATTCCACTCGTTTAACTCTGCGCTTCAATCTGTATTTAGGAACCAGGCCCTTACGTACATCAATCTCCACACAGAGTCTCGCGTAATTACCTCTGACTCCATTCTCTGTATTGTAATCAATTTTCTCCAGTCTCCCTAACTTGTTGCCAATATTTGTGAGGACATCTTCATCGAAGTAAGCAAGGGGAGCCTAGGGAACACTCAATCTGTTGATGGTGTCGACGTTTGGATCAAAGTTCAACCTCCACGATTCTAAGAGGATGTAATGATCATCAATGGTCCATGGCCCTCCATAAAGCGCTCTGTCGTGATCCAACTACGTGTCAAACACCGCCTGGTAGAACCCATTGCCGACATCACCAATTTTCACTCCTCTTGTCTTCGCCCACAGATTACGAACTCTACGTGTGATGTAGGGAAAGGAGAATGTCTTACCCAGAACTTTGAAAGTGACAGCCCGACTCCATTTGTAACGGATTCTTGCATCCGTCTTCTTTTTAACCCTAATTGTTGGGCAGAAGGGATCGTCGTCGACCTCTTCTTCGTCTGATTCATCTGACATGAGGTCCTCCCCGTTTTGGTTTTCTGACATCGGTGTCGCCCCCAAGACCATATCCTTATAGGAAAACTTTCTAACTTCAGTTGGAGCCTTGACTTCCGAGATTTTTTCTGTCCCCATCTCTGTATCCTCGTGCTGATTCAGAGCATCTCTCATGGTGACAAATGCAACATCCATCCTCCCTTCACCAGAGAAGCAATCGTTGACTGAAGATATGGACTTCTTGCTTGACTGAACTGGCGAATTCGTCGGTGAATCATCGGGCGGCTTCAAGCTGTGGCTGATCCTCTCCGGTGGGGGGGTCAGATTTCTCCATAGAAGACCGTTGGTGATTTGTGTGATGAAATAAGTGAAAATGCTACGTGCCCGAGCTTTATTATCTGGCATTTTTCGGGCGGAAAAGGCAACGAGATGATCCACTTAATAAATTATTTAATGTGTAGTTGAGAGGATAAAAAGGAGATTCTAATTCAACGTAAATGAAGAACTTAAACCAATTTGAATGAAATCATTCCTCTACTATCATACTTTGGGGTAAAAAATTTAATTTTTTTTTTAGTAAGAACGATTAAACAAAACTTCTTAACTAAATCCCGAAAATCTTATCTTTCCCTCCGCCGAAACTTTCTCCAACCGTTGACTGAATTTACATACTCAGACAAATCCCCCACTTCTCATGGAATCACATCCCTTATCCACTCTGATAACCAGATTTAAGTAATAATCAATCAATCATCTACCCCATCTTTCTCCCACAAACTAAATCCCAAATTTACAGTTCCATTTCCCGTAATGATCACCTACCTCCCCAGCTTAATTACTACTTATACTGACTGATACTCCAATTGTCACTCCAGTTTCACTCAGCTATAGTACCTAGCTACATTTTCTTGCATGCCTGCGCAGTCACTTGATTATGGCGGCAACCAAGCGATCTCGAGTTGTTACGACACCGAGCCAGGGGGAGATCGGGCTGCTCGACATAGTCCAGCCGATCGAATCCTCTCCCGCGCTCTCCCGGGGAATGCACACATCTCCCCTGTTCAATGTCTCCCTGAAATTGCACCCCCTAACATCGTCGACGGCCGGAGACTCCAGATCGGAGGCCAAACGCCTTTCTCGGGGTTTGTTCTTGTTCGGACCCGCCAACGACGACGACGACGACGAGACGGAGAGACTAGATTTGAAGCGGAAGCAGAGGCAGAGGCGGCGGCCAGGGGAAGGGTACTGTGAGTTTCTGGAAGGGTGTTACTTGTGCCACAAGAAACTCGACCTCTGCCATGTGTATATGTACGGGTAAGTTTCTCTCTGCTCTCACTTTCTGATTGCGTTCTTTTCAATGGTGGCTAATTAGTGTAAGGTGGCGATGGAAATGCATTATGCATCTGCAGTTACTTGGGTGCATTTTGCTCTCCCGAGTGCCGGGAGAATCAGATTGCAGTGGATGGGTTTGACCAGCAAGTGTCCAAAGAATCATCCGCCATGGTTAATTTGTTCATGCAGAAGGGATATCTTGGTGAATCCGCCAGGGTTAGGGGAGAGTTTTCGGTGTTGGTTGATGACAAGCAGCAGCAGCAGCAATTCCTTGCAAGTACTTTTGTATCCACTTGCAACAGATTTGCCTAGCCTAGCGTAGCCATTCAAATGTTCTTCCTTTTTTCTTTTTCCTTCTTTCAATCTTGTTGCTTTTGTTGCAGTGGTTCATGTGTTAGCTAACGCAATGTTTGTAACTTTGAATCTAGCTTTTGTTAGAAGGAGGCCAATGGCTAAATTTTTTTTACAGTCAGAGACCTTATCCTTAGTTTCTTTTAATGAAAAGACAAGGAAGTTTGAATCATTTACATTAATTCAGTCATATACAGTTTGTATCTCTTGCAGCTGAATCTTAACTGTTATTGCTGATGCTGGTGCTGTCGAATCGCGCTCCTCGGAAGAACATTAGCACTTTTGCTTGCAGATTATGACCATCCCCAGTAACTACCATTACTGAACTTGAGAATGCAGAGTTTTGATTTGCAGAATTGAAAGAAGCTCTCAGAAACTGATGAACACTCTTCCAGCAATTTGTATGCAGGAATCAGTTTTCTTTCATCATTTTCAGTTTGTTAACTTATTAGGTATCAGTTTTGGCTGATGTTGAACAAGGGCAGAGAAAACAAGACCAATCCTTTGTCATGTTGTGCTCTGCTGAGACAAAAAGAAAACATACCATAACTTATGCTTTTACAACCTTTTTTCATGCCTTGCTGTTTTACTGAACTGCTGCTGCTGCTGCTAGTGTTGCTTTCACCTCCCCACTAAAAAAAGGCCACTACTGACCATTTACTGGGTCCTCTCAGTTTTAAACATCTCCCTCTCTCTCTCTCTTGGTCAGCTTAATTATATATATTTTCTAGCAGAACCCAACACATGATCATGTTGTTTACTGTCCAACATTTGCCCACCTTAATCATTGCATTTCATGGGTGTGCTGAGAAATGCCTTGCACAATGTGGGATGTTGAAGTTGGGGAGTGGAGCTGCATATGTATATCATGACTTTCCAGAATGTCAGATGTTTGATCGCTGGGTTTTATGCTCTTCTTTTCAAGTAGCATTATGTTTCATCACTCACTCTTGCAGGTTAAAGATGAAAACTGTGAAGAATGCCTGCAGTTTTTGTCAGTATAATCATAGGCCAGCCCATAAACAAGGCCCAAAGCCATGAGAGCACTGTGTACAATCTCTGCAATGAAATTTTATAGCATTTGTTTGCTTCCTTTAATCATATTCCACACGCAATCACGGATTATTACGATAGTTACAAGATCGATTAATGACCTATTATGGTATGAAATTGCATACAAGCTCACTGGATTTAGTCATACGGAAGAACCCATGATTGTTTGCTGGGAATCACGTGGCAAGCAAGTGAAAAGCAAAAGAGAGGGAGAGGTAGCCTAACTTTCTCTGAGGTGATGCATGAAGATGAAAGGAACATGTCAAAGCCTCCTGCTGTAGGTTTATGACTTTTGCCCTTCAACCTACTAGGGACCAGCTTGCGACTGAAATAAACCAAGTAAAGGAAACATGCAATAGACCAACTCCAGAAAGTGGGCTTGCTAGTAAAATTTGGATTCAACTGCTACCTTCACATTCCCTTTTCTTACCTTTTTTGCTCAACATTCTGCTCTTTGAACAGGGAATTGCTGCCTGCTACTGCTGATTTTACTTCTGAAACAAAACTGTAGAACTGGCTGTGGGGCACTCCACTTTGTTTGTCTCTAACTGCAGAATCCCAACTCACTTCCTAAACACTACATAAATACCCTAATTCTTTAAAGCCCCATTTTGGACCATCTTAGTGTAGGGGAATGGTGGCATTGTTCATTATTATCAGTAGATGCTAACTATTATGTCCAAAAGCAAATCTGGTTACTAGCCACATAGCTAGTAGCTTTGCCTGAATAAGGAAAGAAGGGAAAGGCAGCTCTATATCATCATATTTTATCCCTCTTTCCTTTATTCCATGTATGGTAATTGATGCATACAGCTTTTGAAACTGTGCAGTGGTGAATCAGGTCTAAAAAAGTGATGCTGTGGGGTGGGAATGGAATGTAAACCTCAATGATATGGAGCATGTAGCTCCAAAAGAAGAGTCCATGATAATTGATAAAAAATAATGGGGAGCTGGAGCTCCTCCCAATACAAAAACCTGCCACCAAAGCCTGTCAAACATTCTGTCTAAGTTCTATTGCTCTTTCTTTATTCTTATGCATCCATTCAGAAACTCACCAGAGAAGGTGTGTGGAGAGAAGATTATCAAGAAGAAGGGCACAGCTTTTCTCGGGGAAGAAATCATTAGCCATGAAAAACAACATCAGCAAAAGCCAAAGGCACTCTGAGGTCAGAAATTTTGTCTTCTTTTTCTATAATATAATCCACTTCACTTAAAACAAAAAGCAAAGGAAAAGAAAACAGAAGAAAGGAACAAAATACAGGAATGTTTTATCTTCACTGATCTCTCTCACTTTCTTTCTTTTCTTCTTTCTAAGTAATCAAAATTTGTCTCCTAAACTAAGAAAGAATCATCATGAATTCTACCTAAAAAATTAGTCAGCTCCCTACTGCTTGCCATTCTCCCCCCACTTGATTGCTCTTCATCCATGGTTGAGTTCTGAAAAGGGGAAAATGATCAACTTCCATGGTTGAGTTCTGAAAATCTCACTAACCAAAGCACTAAGGCAGCAGCAATGATAAAAGCAAGCAAGCATAGCATACCTCAGAAAAAGTGATTACTCTGGAACTTCTCTTTGGCAGGAAAGTGAGGAGGAAGAGGTGCTGCTGCTTTTTTGTCTATTTGAGGCCTACCAGAAACTGCTACTAAGTTATTAAAGTTAAAGCTTGCTTGTGAACTACTGAGTTGGACTGAGACTGAGTTAGCTGACCAAATTACAATGAACATTTACACCTGATCAACACAAGAAAACAAAACCCCACTGGGAATCAGTGTTAGCCAAAAGAATTCAGCAAAATAAAACAAAAATGAAAAGCCAAAAGAGAAGAACAGCAAAATCAAGAAAAGTGAGAAAAGCAAGGAGAGGAGAGAAACAAACCTCCTTTTTTCGGTTAGTGGGCAACGGAATGTCTCCATCACTACTCTTCATTCCAAGGCCAACAACAAGGAAAAAGAAAACATATGTTGAAAGTCACTCATTCCCGCCTGCAACAAGGGACCAAAAATTCAACATGAGAATAGGAACAAACCAGTCCAAACGAAAAGAGAGGGAATCTGCAGGCTATTGTATAGTATATAGCATAGTATAGCATACGAATGCTTCAATTATGTGCCAAGTATACATTCCTCCTCTAAGCTACATTGCTAGATTCACTTCACATGAAACAAAAATTACTAATCCATGTGATAAACATGTCCTTAAAGCAGCAAAGTTTGATTTCTGTTTCACCCAGAACCGGTATCTAAGCTACCCTAGCTAGCTCATGAATTCTGCTAGAGGACCACCATAATTATATTTGGACCATCTCTTGGCAACCACAATTTTTTCACCAAGGTGGTAAAGGATGGTGAGAAAAGTGGGCAAGAAAGAGTGAGAGAGGGAGATATACCTGAATATGGAGGGTAGATGGATTCTAAACTATCTCAGACGCTTTCAAAAGAAGTTCAACTCTGTGTAGCCATGTGAGTAAGGTAAAAGCTCCTCTACTTCAATCCTGGAACTAGAATAACTAGTGCTTTTCTTCAACCGGTCATGGGTGGACTCCACCTCTGCCCAAAATATACCATAAACTGGCCTGTGATCAGAGAATCTAGATTCGCCTCGGACGTAAGACAACTGCTGAAGGCCTTCTCCATGCCACAAAATTCTGTCACACCTTTAAAACCGAAAAATAGTTGAATCAATCAATCCGCACCCATCAATCATTAAGCGCAAAAAGAACAAGTTCATTTCACTCTTGCCCACAATTTCAACAACATATGAAGATGAAGAGACATTTCTTTACCAAGCAGGTGTTCGACGTTTCTCTTTTGGGTGCATATCATCTCCTGCGTATCTGTCCGAGTTAGTTGAGTACTTGTAGGTTGGTGGGAAGTAGATTTTTCCTTCACGCCATCCCCTGAACACCCGTCCTCTCCTTTGCTCTATTCTCAGCTGCATAAGCAAAAAAGTGTAAAATATTAGAACGAATTTCATCCAAAGATAAGAACAGTTAAAATGAATAAAAATCAGATGAGAAAATTAAAACATGCCTGATCATTCTCCAACAATGCCCTCCAGTTCTGCATCTCAACAAGTGCCTTAGCAGATCGATAGGTTAGGGCGATTCGATAGTTGAGATCCCCGAGCCAAATCACCCGGCTAACATCAGTAAATAAAGAAACCAAGTTAGGCACAAGAGAGATCCATCACTATCAGTTTCAGTTCCTTAAACAAGGGTGAAAATTGCTCTCTTACTCATGCTCAAGGATAGTTTCTGGAGACTTCGCGTCACTGCATTCGCTGTTAACACGTGGAAACCGTGTCTTCTTGAGAATCTCCATGACGTCTGCATTCCTTCTTAGCTCATCCCCTTCTTTCTGTCCAGAAGTCAAATGACTGCAAATGAAGCAAAAGGTGGTTTGGTGCAATGACATGCTGACTGAAATTGATCCCTGCAGAAAACACGAAAATCACATATTTCTCAGTGACATGAAAAACTTTAAAGCTTTCCATTAGAGTGTCTAATATAGCCTTAGATAAAATTACCTTATTTCCAAGATAACCCATCAACCCTCTTCCAACGCAAGAAACCTTCATGTTCTTAACATGATCTCTCAACTCACTTCTCACCCAGATAGTGAGGAATACACCAACCATCTGCTTACTCGCCACAAGACAATACCTGGAGTGACCCCCCGGTCTCCTATGGCCATCCTCGCTTGAAGCAGCATAAGACGATGACATTGGGGAGTACAAAACAGTACTGGGTGAATCTCCAAGGCCATTATCATCATCAGAAGACCCCCATCTCGAGTAATCACTAGGCCTTGAGTAATCGCTAGCCCTCGAGTAATCACTCGGCCTGTGAGAATAATCACTCGGCCTGTGAGAGTAATCACTTGGCCGGTGACTTCCCCATCGGGAGCTTTGATCATAATCACTTGGCCTGTGACCAAATATCACCCTATCACATACACTGAACCTTCTCTCCAGCCTCGGCTGTGGGATCGAAGGATCGTTCTCCATTCTCCAGCTGCTGGGAGTCTGGAATGACCTTCGAGCATAGAAAGATGGGTTCTTTTGCCTCGATGAGCCCTCGAAATCTGCATCCATTTCTACTATGGGTTCAGGAATTGGTGATGGAGTATAGTAGCCACCACCATTGTTGCTGCCACTCGTTCCAGGGAGATTGTTTAGTGTCTTCCTAATTAAAGCCAGCCATTTTTTAGCTGGGCCATTGTCTTCTGCTCCAAGAACATTACCAGCATTAAGAGGGACTATCTCTTGAAACCTGATGAAACCATGATCATCTAAATCATGAAAAATGGACAGGAAATAGAAGACTACTTGTACTGAGTTTAATCCTTCTGTTTGTTTGAGGAATGTACCCAAGAACGTAGATGTCAGCAGGAGGAGAAGCGTGAAGCCAATCTTCGAGACTCAAGTTGCTCGTCGGTGACCTGCCGGCGACATTCCACGTGGCAACAAAGATGCTGGAGCAAAATTGGGACGATAATTTGAGAAAAGAATGGAAAGTTGGGATCTTTGAGATGGGGAAAAAAGCAGGGAATTGATTATACCTGTGGTTCTGGACATCAATGATTCTCGGGTGGTCGAGATTCATTCTTGCCCGCCGGGTCGGGTCAGTGTTCTTGGTGAATTTCTCTGCAAAAACCCTATCAGTAGTTAGCAAAATGGGGAAGAAACAGAAATTCAAACAATTGGAGGAAGTGAAGGAAAGGTAGTAAAAAAACCCAAAATCACCTGTTTTGCTCTTTTTAATTGTAGAAGGCTCCCTTTCGGAGAAGCTAGGCCGGTACTCGACCTCGCCGCCTGAAACAGAGAAAAGGAAAACCCAGACTCATTTTCCCAGCAACCATACAGAGTTGAGTAGGAATGCAAGAGTGGAAAGGGAAAATTTTGCCGAACCTCCATAAACATCATCAGCTTGGAACTCTTCGTTTTTACTCTTGATATTGAACCATTTCCGGACCATCTTCTTGGACCATGAGAACTTCACAGTCACCAAACAAACGAAAGAAGACAAAAATTAGGAAATCAATTAGGTAGAGGCCCCCTCCCTCGGAAACCATAACAAAAAAAAACCGTCATTATACCGTTCGGAACAGAAACAAACAAACAAACAAGGGAAGGAACGATTGCCAATTGGTATAACGGTAGAGAAGAGAAGGGGAAAACCTTGCTTTTGGTGGAGTTGTCATCCCTCATTTTTTCACCTCTACTTCATATATCTCGCTTATGCTTTCTATTCCCTCTCCCCAAATTGGCCAGAAGAACAGATTATGCACAGAACTACAATCTTACAACCCCAGAATTGAATTAGTTCTTCCCCCCAGCAGAATGCAGTGAATCGAGAGGATCAACCAGCCAGGGAAATCTCCAAACTTTACTCTCTCACAGCTACCAAAACAAGTTGGTGGAAACTTCAATCCAAAAAAGGAGAAATGGGTAGTCCAGGTTTCCTTTGATATCAAATGGACAAGTCGAGAAAAGACCCAAAGCAGAGAACTTTGCCTGGAATTCGGAACAAATGGGTTTATGTGGGTTTCCAGTTGTGGAAATGGTGGGGAGGACTGAGAAGGAGGAAAACTACAATGGAGCCGAAATCTCAGAGGTAGATTTGATGGGCTGAGTGTGGTTTATGCTGTGCAATTAGACAAGGAAGGGGAAAGAGAGGACAGACATAGACAGAGGGAGAGAGGGAGAGCGAGCTGCTTTAATGCGTGGAAGTGAGATGAAGATTCTTTTGAAGTAGCCAAGGAGACAATGTCGCAGGCAGGGAAAAAAAAGGGAAAGGGAAAGGGAAAGCAAATAGCAGAGAGATAGAGAAGGAGAAAGCTTTTATATTAGCGAGGGCCTTCTTCTTCCTCCTTCCTCCTTCCCTTCTGCCCTGTTTTCTCTCGGCTTTAGCTCTATTATGTCTGCTGCTCTGCCCTTTGAACCAAGAAACCAGCTCTCTTTCTCTCGCTGGGCCTCGTTCTCAGTAAACGGCAGGGCAAAGTATCGAATTTGAACAGGAATAAAGTGGGCTGAGACGAGAAACACAAACAAAGACCAGGTCTAGACGGCTACCTCTCTCTCTCTCTCTCTCTCTCTCTCTCTCTCTCTCTCTCTCTCTCTCTCTCTGTCTCTGTTTGTTTTGCTTTTCCTTTTTCAGCACTACAAATCTCAAGGCCAATAGCTCCCACCAAACCTTGAAATCAAAGTGTTAAAGAGGATTGCAGCCTGCAGGGTCGTTTCGCATAGCCTCTATCACATAAAACGGCACATTGTCAGAGTGGACACAAAAGCAGCAGGCTGCTGAATCCAGGTTGAGAGTAGACTTAGGCAGTTAATTTTAGAAGGGAAGATCACCAACAGCAAGTGTGGCAATGGCCTGATCGGTCGACAGCTTAGGCTATAACGTTTGGCTGAGTGTGGTCTACTGATAAAAGAGTTGTCAAATCATTAACATGAGTGTGAAGCTAAATGTTTCGGATTAACTCTCCATACGATGAATTCACTGCTTGATCTGAATAATTCATCCGTTTGTAAATCTTATTTCGTTCAATTTGAACTATTAAATGAATCGGACATAAAAAAAATTATTAACTTACCTCGTTTGAGAATATTTGTATCCGAAATATGTGATTACATTTGGGAATATGTGATTACATTTGGGAAGTAAATTAATTAGGGTGTGGTCATTTTAGGGTGAGACAATGGTTGAAGAAATTTTCAAATCAATCATTGCAAATAAGATGCAGTCGGGTCTCGATGTAATGAATCTGAATTTGCGTAGAATTCTCTTGGTTTCCCAAATTCGGTCTTCTTATTCCATTCCAACAAAGTGGAGAAAACAAAAGGAAAAGCAAAGCAAAGGAGGATTAATCAAACAATAAAAATGGGGAAGGAATGATACGTGTACTCTTTCTTAGTATATGACTGACTGTAAAATCCATTTTTCTTCTTTTCCTTCCTACCTTCTATCTCTCCATGGGATGGCAAAAAATATCAAATGGATAATTCGATCTAATAATATTGGATAACATTCAACTTGAAATTTTTTTCAGTGGACATGATTGAAACCGAATTCAAATATTGTAGGTAATAAATGAACATGGTTTTTTTCACTATCCAACTTTTTTTTGTGTAGAAATGATGGTAATTTTTTAACATATGTAATATATTGCATATATAATATTTTCATCAAATTATGTTTTAACTAATTTTTTTCATTCCAGTGATTCATTATTGTAGTTTTTCACTGATGTAATGTGAATATACATTTGAATGTTAACATGGAAGTTGAGATTATAAAGGGAAATTATTACCCTTTGTTAAATATGGTTCCTCGAAACATTATCATATATGCGCATTTTTTTTAATTTTCTACCCGAATTATGTGAGCACGGGATAAACCATACTATTCTGTGTAGCGTAACGTATATATGCAATATCCGCCCCGACTCCATCTCTTGTCATCCCTATGAATAACCATAACGGGTTCCTTGGTTTTGAGTGAGGCCAAATATAAGAGATGAGATCAAAAAATGTTTAATTTTCCCTGCTTTTTTAATCAACTTGTATCTTCTTTGTTTTAACACAAATTTTAAATTATGTTGCACAAATGGAACAAGTTCATTGTAATCTACAAAATAATATTTATTTTTTATACATTTCATAAAAATATTTTTCATGCTACTCGTTAGTCGTTATCATAGTGGTACCACTCGGTACATTCTGTACCACCTTTGTTTTTAACTTAAATTTTGAAACTTTTTTCATAGAATGAAGTAGTGATCATGATCTATATAATTTGATATGTTTTTGGGAAAACATTTCTAGACCAAATATACCACCAAATGTATAACTTTGGTATAGAGTGGTAAATTATGGTAGGTAATAGTTAGTATATTTCTACTATGTAAACAACTATTCTACAATACTATATACGCATAAACCATGTTATCATATTATATATGTACTAGTATAACCAAACATTATCACCATAGTATATAGACTCATAATATATGTCTTCATTTTTTTAATAAAAATATATATAAAATTGCATGTCATTTTGAAGAGCACGATTAGTCTCTGAAAAAAATAGATTTCGATTTAAAAGTTAAAATGTAAGAGATATAGCCGTTAAATTTGATTATAGAAAAATTATGTATATTCAATAACCAACTAGGTTACTGATCGGAAGCGCTCCCCTCTCTCTCTCGTTTAAAAAAAAAATGAGTATGTAATCCACAAGAATTTTATAATGATTTATAGTATCGGTGTTTTTTGTTCAAAAAAAGTTGTTTTATGTACTTTTAATGTTATAGTACACATTAAGTATAAAAAAAAATGTTATAGTACACATTTAGCATACATAAAAATACCTTTTTGAAAAACAAATGCTACAAACTTTATATGTATTTTTATGTTATGCTATTATTAAATTTGTGATATAAATTCTTTTATAATACAAACTAAACTTGTATATCTAAACATTATTATATAAGTTCAAATTGTACCTCAAATACCATGAACCCCTATTTTGTGTTTCCGTCACAACATTCGACAATATAAATCAAATAAACAAATTGGTATCCGTATTCTTCTATTCTATTCATGAAATTTGTAGAGCCGAACTTGGGTGCCTTTCCTCTCCTTCAGGCAGGCCCCCCACCACTGAGGCACAGGATGAAAGATATCGTTTTGGGAGATCTTTGATTTGATAACACTCCCTTCCATCACTACTCCAATTACCGTTATTTAATGTATGCCAATCAAATAGGTTGGTAGTCCAAAGTGTGTCCTAACTAATAGGGTGTTTAAACGGAGTGGTTATTGTGATAAATGTTTTAATCGATATTATTTGGTTAATTTGGTTTGATTAATTTGGATAATTGGTTTGGTTTGGTTAAAGTTTTTAGCTTGTTTAGTTTAGGTGGTTTAGTTTGGTTTCAGACACTCGTAACTAGTCAAACCAAATTAATTAATCAGTTAAGTAATTATTCATACATCTAATGTACATTATATACATCTAATGTACATTATAAGTAGTTTGGTTTTAGATTGTGTGTTTTTAGCTTGTTTAGTGTATATTTGTATTTGTAGAGTGTAGACCACACCATATAGAAGCCTAATTTAGATAAAACTCACACATTATGTTGGATGAAAACTTGAAAGGAAGGTGTTTTTCAACCTACGATAATTGCTAAGGGACTAAGTCAATTTACACAAACACAACAATTCATTAACCCATATCATTGTGAGACATTGTCATATATTATTTTAGGTGAATACTTCTATATACTGACCAAAAGATAATTGTATATCAGTTGCATGTATTTACGTTAGGGTCAACTATAACTATGTGTTGATTGTTATGTTTTAGTCATTATATATATTGTGAATTGATGCATTAACCGGAAACTTTTCTCACATAATGATAATGTGGTTAGTCTGGTTAATCAATTAACCAAACCAACTAAACTTTGGACTTTGCTACGGTGACATGCATGTCACCGTAACTTGCACTTTTAGGTTGACCTTATATAGGATTAGGTCGACCTAATCTGCACTTTTAGGGCGACCTTATATAAGATTAGGTCGACCTAATATGTCGTTTCAGTTTTGTGAGGTTCAACGACGCGGTTGACCTTTTATAGCAAATGGTCGACCTCTTTGGGAAGCGATGTGGGTGGTTCTTTTGCTCGTACAAATTTTGTTTCAAACCAATAGAATCCGTCATAAATAATGATAACAAGGACTCATAACTTCATAACATAACAACTAAACAAACTAACAAGAAATACAATAAAAGACAAATCATAATTGTTCACACATAACTAAAATCTAAAACCACATAATATCAATCCACAATTGTTTTTAACACTTAACAATAAAAACACACAATCTAAAATCGTCGAGTTCCTACTCCTGTCCCCTCTCTCCCTCCACATTTTCTTCATTGGTGTTGCTAGCATTATGGTAGTCGGAAGTTACGGTGACATGCATGTATCTTCCACTGAAAGATCGAAAATCATCTCGCATCTCATTCACGGTCACCTGTAGTGTGCTCATCTGGGTGGTCATTTGCCTAATTTAGTCGTACATGCCAGTCATCTGGGTGGAAATCTGGCCCATGTAGTCGTACATGCCAGTCATGCACTTCCCAAGAGGTTGGCCATTTGCTATAAAAGGTCAACCGTGTCGTTGAACCTCACAAAACTGAAACGGCATATTAGGTCGACCTAATCCTATACAAGGTCGACCTAAAAGTGCAAGTTACGGTGACATGCATGTCACCATAGGCATACCCTTAAACTTTAGTTTGGTTAATTTGGTTGTTGTGTTAGTTTGGACGGTCTTGTTATGATATTGTAGGTTAATAGAATTTAGCTTTATCTAGATCTAGATAATAAATAAAAGCCGAATGATGAAAACTGTTGCTCCATTTCAAATTTCCTGCAACGAGAGTAATTATAGGAAGGACATTTTGGTCTTCACAATTGCTTATTTTCTTATTTATTTATTCATAAAAAAGGCATGCACTGGGATTTGAACCTTGGTCTCTTTAAAGGCAAGCAAGGATCATAACCAATCACACTAAGTATATTTGTTGTATCTATTTAAATTCAAACATACACGAACCTAAATTATGAAAATCATATGACTTTTTTAACGATTAGTTGGCCACTCAATCTCCCGTAAGTACTTATTTGGTGTTTTAATACTTTGATTATTTTAGTTGTAGTTTAATACTTAATTTAAATTTCTATCTATTTTATAAATATACAATAACCCTAAAATTGCAGCCCAAATATCACTGGTTCGAATATTGCATATCGAATTGCAATATTAAACATGTAGAAGCAATATCGACTTCTTAAATTAATATTATTTTTCAGAATTACTATGGAGAAATTATATCTTTGTGCAAACTATATGAGACTGGTTCTTTTAATGTTTTAGTCGGGATAACCTCTACATTTTAAACTTCTTCATAATCTGGCATGATTGGATCCAATGATCATTATACAAGATTGTGTTTAATAGGGTGACTCATTTCATCACTTTTTGGCGTGTTAATGAATTTGTAGGACAATGACAGGTCTACATCTACACTCATCACAATCTACACATCAT